AAGGGAAGGTCTGCAAAGTGTCGACCTTCCTCGGGAACGAACGAAACGCGCAGAACCGGTTTTTTGTTTTTTTTTAATGTCAGCCTTCTTTGGACTCATGTTCCCTGTTTTCATTCATATTGCAGTTTTAATTATTATTTTTATTTGGAGTCCTGTTTCATTTTTTAATTCATATTGCAATTTTAATTATCTTTCTTTCGAATCGTTCGATTTTTTAATTCATATTGCAATTTAATTTTTCTTGGGAATCATGTTTGATTTTTTAATTCATATTGCAATTTTAATTATTATTTTTCTTGGGAAATGTGTTTCGTTTTTTAAATTCGTACCGCAATTTTAATTATTATCTTTCTTTGGAATCGTATTTCATTTCTTAGTTCATATTGCAATTTTAATTATTATTTTCAAGTGCAATCAGGTTTCATATTTAAATTCATATTGCAATTTTAAGTATTATTTTTCTTGGAATCATGTTTCATTTTAAAACTATTATTTATAAATAATCCTTCACCCTGTGATACAGCGGGTGGCATTTTGCTGCTATTTGATTTTTAAAGAAGGCAAACATTTCAGTGTAGGCTGCAAAATCAGAACATACCTGCGAGGTGGAAACAGGCTCTAAATTCAGCAGCAGCTATCTCCAGGTTTGGTCTTGAACTCAGACCAAGGCTGCACTCTTATCATGGAATCATAGAGTTGGAAGGGACCCCGAGGGTCATCTAGTCCAACCCCCTGCAATACAGAAATCTTTCGCCCAACATGGACCTCTAACCCACAACCCTGAGATGAAGAGTCTCATGCTTTACCAACTGAGCTATCTCTCACCTGGGAGCATCACATTGAACTTTATAGGAAATGACACATTACTGTTCAAAAATTTTAAAAATCCCAGTGTGCTGTGGTCAAGGATTCAGGTCCGGGGTATGACTATGCAAATAAGAGTAGACTTGAGTGTCCCCATGTTTGTGCCACTACAAATCACATACACACATCTCAAAAAAAATATCCTTTATGAGGTAGCAGTGTCCGCTTTTCACTTGTTTAATTTTTCCTTACTTTGTGTAATAAAGGTAAAGGGACCCCTGACCATTAGGTCCAGTCGTGGCCGACTCTGGGGTTGCTGCGCTCATCTCGCTTTATTGGCCAAGGGAGCCGGTGTTTGTCCGCAGACAGCTTCCAGGTCATGTGGCCAGCATGACTAAGCCGCTTCTGGCAAACCAGAGCAGCGCATGGAAACGCCGTTTACCTTCCCGCCGGAGCGGTACCTATTTATCTACTTGCACGTTGATGTGCTTTCGAACTGCTAGGTTGGCAGGAGCTGGGACCGAGCAACAGGAGCTCACCCCATCGCGGGGATTCGAACCGCTGACCTTCTGATCGGCAAGTCCTAGGCTCTGTGGTTTAACCCACAGCGCCACCCGTGTCCGCCACTTTGTGTAATACCCAGCCCAATTAAGCTTGATCACTATACTGTGGACATTTTGTTTGGGCCTAATACTGGTATTACTCAAGTGTGGATTTCAGAATTTTCTTTGGATTATGCACATTCAGTTTATAAAAAAAGTAGACATGGTTAAGATCGCGCTATAATATTGTGTCTGCTCTTCGTGTATTTTTTTCTCTTTATTCGACACTATGTTACACACACACACACAAACACACAATGCTATTTTTGTAGAAAAAGAGGTGCCGGTATTCACCATGAAGTTGTTACAGTAAGTTCCACACTTTTTAACAACAAAAAAGAGGTGCCAGTACTGCGTACTGCTGAGTATCCCCTAAAAAAAGGACTCTCTCTCTTGCTCTCTCTGTGTGTATATAATAAATTACCAAATGTTGAGAGTGTTTTGTTTTTTGTTTTTTTAAGATAGGCTATATTTTCACTTGTCACCTTTCTTGGGTTTGGTGAACTATTTCAAATATATTTGTTAATTAAAGATGTTAAAATCAAAACAATTTTAAAATAAATATATATTTATTCTTTAAGAGACAAGCACAACAAAATTTAGTATTCAGGTGTTGACAAATGTAGCTTAAAATACACAGAAGACGACACCTGGGGAAAAAATCCATCAGGATTCTTTCATCCATTCATCTATACAAAATTTAAAGCAGATATATGTGAACTGATAACCTCAAAATAAAAATTAATAATGAAGACTCCACGATTGGTTTTTAAAAAATCATTTGAAAATACACTTTCTTTCATTTTCTATTAATCCATAAAATTACAAAATAAACCATTTATTACACATTGGAAGCATAATTTGTTATTTGAAGTACGTAGTTTGTTTCTCTAACCTTTTGCTGCAGCTTCTGCTTAACGATATCAATATGGAAATACTCAGTAAAACTGGCCAAATCTATTATCAGGCGAAATCCATCTCATAGGAAACTGGGAAAATATTCTTTTGAGGTGGAGTTTGCCCGATAATGAGCAAAATTGCATTTCTCTGACCGGCTTCACACTACTCTGCTGTTAATTGAAAGTTTTACTGAGTTTCTGCGCAGTGCAAAATGTCTGCATCATTTTAACAAGTGACACCTGCCGCGTCCAGAGTGTTCCTATCTAATGGACAATCCTGTTGTGTCTCTGTATTGTCTGCGATTGAGTGGAGACTGGCCAGAATTACCCACTCCCAAGAGGCCGACAGCTGCAGCTACATGAGTTTAGCCTCTGCTCTGGGCTTCTCTCCTTCCAAGCAGACACCCCCAAGAACAGTAATTCATGCAGAAGCATAGAATTGTAGAGTTGGAAGGAACCCAAAGATCATCTAATCAAACCCTCTGCAATCCAGGAATATGCAGCTCATGGCCGGATTTAGGTTTGATGAGGCCCTCAGCTACTGAAGGTAATGGGGCCCTTTATATGACCAGCTGTCCTTTGTCAACAATAAATTTTCGCTGTTTTTTGCATTGAATATATGCTGTATGGTCATTTACGGACCTAATAGGTATCTAAAGCCATTTGCAGAAAACAAAAATATGTATTTTATCAAAGTAATTGATATAGAAATGAGCAAATTAGTGATATTTTACGGATCAGGCTAGCAGGCGGAGCCCATAACTTACATCATAGGAGCCTACACAACACAAAACAAAACACTTTTGCTGTATGTAGGTTTTATTTTGGGTTTTTTTTATCTTATATTTTGGAAATGTACATCCAGGTTTTTTCCCCCTTTAAATTTTTTTGGGGGCCCCCAAGAGAATGCGGCCCTAAGCTATATAAGCTTGTTTGGGCTTTTCTGGCCCACATAGGACCAGTCTGGATAGTTGGCCTTGGTGAAGATTTGACGTCCCCCACCCCCCAAAAAACAGTTTTTGATCTGGGCTTCCACTGAAATGAGGCTGCATTTTAAATATTATTTTAATCTTGTTTTGAAGTTGTATTTTAATCAATTGTTTTTATACCTGATGTTAGCTGCCCTGCACCCAGGGAGGGAGGGTGGGGTGTAAATAAAATTAAATAAATAAATGAAAATTTGGCACTGTCTATCCCATAGAGGGATCGAACCTGCAACCTTGGCATTATCAGCACCACGCTCTAACTAACTGACAAGCACAGAGAGTGGGCTCCCCTTGCACATAAAACCTCTTTTGGTGGAAGAGTGAAGGATGGCACTGCCTCCAATTTTCATTCAGTTTTGTTGTTGTCGTTTTAAAGGAAAGGCTGCTTCTGCTGCCAGAAATTTTGGAAATACTGGTTTCAGGTTCCAGAGATTTGCCTGTTAGGATGTCCTTACAGGCTGCTAGCCTTTTCCCCTTGCAGAGAGAGCGCCACCCCCACCCAGTTTTTGTCTCCTTTCCTCTTGCCATTGCAGGCTTGTTGTTGTTTAGTCGTTTAGTCATGTCCGACTCTTCGTGACCCCCTGGACCAGAGCACGCCAGGCACTCCTGTCTTCCACTGACTCCTGCAGTTTGGTCAAACTCATGCTGGTAGCTTCGAGAACACTGTCCAACCATCTCATCCTCTGTCGTCCCTTTCTCCTTGTGCCCTCCATCTTTCCCAGCATCAGGGTCTTTTCCAGGGAGTCTTCTCTTCTCATCAGGTGGCCAAAGTATTGCAGCCTCAGCTTCAGGATCTGTCCTTCCAGTGAGCACTCAGGGCTGATTTCCTTACCCAGAAGGAATCCCAACTGATTTCTGTAGGGCTTATTCGCAGATAGGTCTTGAAAGACATTGTGTGTTTTAGAGGGTGCAATTTGCTTACCAAACCCCACAGTTGTTGTTGTTGAGTCGTTTAGTCGTGTCCGCCTCTTCGTGACCCCCTGGACCAGAGCACGCCAGGCACTCCTGTCTTCCACTGCATCCCGCAGTTTGTTTTTCCCCAAAAAGTTTTTATTGGTTTTCACAACATTATAGACAAACAAACACATAAAACAAACAAACAAACATAAATCATAGCCTTATTAAAAATTACACTTACTAACATTGTTAAGTGACTTCCTCGCTTCCCCTTGGTTGGATTTCATTGCATGTCCTTCCAACGGTTTTCCAAATCAGAGTTCTTAAAGTAATTTAACTTAAACATTAACATCCTTAGATCTTCACATTATGAAATTAAACATATTAATTCATCACTTAACTTAAATAAAATCCTAAGCCAATTAAGTATCTGCAAGCTGTTTTCAGTTAGTTTAACTTAACATATTTACGGTAACTAAGTCATTATTAAATTTGATCTAATCTTCCTCCAGTTAGGTCGGCTAGCTCCGAAAAATCTGTCCTTCCAGTGAGCACTCAGGGCTGATTTCCTTCGGAATGGAGAGGTTTGATCTTCTTGCAGTCCATGGGACTCTCAAGAGTCTCCTCCAGCACCATAATTCAAAAGCATCCATTCTTCGGCGATCAGCCTTCTTGATGGTCCAGCTCTCACTTCCATCCATCACTACTGGGAAAACCATAGCTTTAACTATACGGACCTTTGTTGCAAAAGGCTGTGAATTGCAAGGAGTCCCTCAAGTGCAGCTTTCCCAGGGAGGAGCCGGGGTGGAGGGTTGGGTGGGAGGGGAAAAGACATGCTTTCCCTTAGCAGAGAGAGTCAGCAAATTCAGCTGCCTGCTCGGGAAGGGAAGGAGCCGCTTCAGAGAACAGCTGGATCAAAGATCTCCTGGGGACACAGGGAGCTTTGCAAGGTAAAAAGGTGCGATGGAGCAATAGCAGGAAGGAGGGAGAGGAGCGCTGGGATGCAGCAAACAGAACAAGGCAGAAGGAGAATCCGGAAAGGAGTGGTGCTGCCTTGGCTCATGATCGCTCCCATTGAATTCTGTGGGACACCAGGTCAATGGGTTGCAGCAGTCTGGAGAGGGGGCAAAGCCTATTTAGCCAAGAAACGTGAGTCCAGCATCTGGCACAGACGATTTCTTTGAACTACTCACTTTTGCTTCCTCTCATTCACACGACTGTGGAAAGAGCAAAGCACAACTTTTGGAAGCAGCCGAACTTTTTGGGGGCAAATTCTGGCAGCCGACAACCTCTCCAGCTTGCTTGCCGTAAACATGGGTCTTTTTCGCTTGCGGAATGATGCTTTAAAGCACTTCGATCTCGCGACACCTTTACAACAACCCTGTAAAGCAGTCTGGTACTCTTACGTGCTTATTGCAAGCGTGGGGAGGGTGGGATTCTGGGGGATAGTGTCCTGCCACAGACGCCCACCCACCCCTTGAGAGATGGGCAGCTTCTTCACACAGCACAAAGTGTGGAACTGGCTCCCAACAAGAGGCAGGGATGGCCAGGAATTGGGTTGGTTTTAAAAAAAACCAGAGAAATCCATGGCAAATATAGCTATCAAAGTCTGCTTGCCACAATGGCTATTTTGTACCTTCACCGTCATTCAGAATCGTACTGTCCACAGGTGAAGACAGAGCTTAATAAGAAAGAGAGATCATGGCATTTTCTGAGAGATCACGGCATATTCCTCAGCTGCAAGGTGAAGTTATCAGTCTTGCCCCCTTCCCTCACGCTTCAGGTGGACTTTTTCTACCTTTTTATTTTAGTTTTTAAGTGCCACATGTTGCTTCCATGGTGAACAAGGAGGCTATTTCAGACATTAGCCTGGGAAGGAATAGGAATGATTTGGACTGATCACAATGAGGATGCTTTCAGACATAGACCCACTGCCCTAAAACATCATGCCTGCCTCTGCTCTTTGCTTTCCACATTTTCATATATTGTGCTCCACCTCTGCTTATATATATATATATAAAGTAAAGGTAAAGGGACCCCTGACCATTAGGTCCAGTCGTGGCCGACTCTGGGGTTGTGGCGCTCATCTCGCTTTATTGGCCGAGGGTGCCAGCGTACAGCTTCCGGGTCATGTGGCCAGCATGACTAAGCCGCTTCTGGCAAACCAGAGCAGCGCACGGAAACACTGTTTACCTTCCCGTCAGAGTGGTACCTATTTATCTACTTGCACTTTTACATGCTTTTGAACTGCTAGGTTGGCAGGAGCAGGGACCGAGCAACGGGAGCTCACCCTGTCGCAGGGATTTGAACTGCCGACCTTCTGATCAGCAAGTCCTAGGCTCTGTGGTTTAACTATATATTCCTCTTTTGGAATGATCTCTCTTAGGTCCCAGAGAAGAACTTATGCCCAGCTGCTGTGACGTAGCAATGACCTCTTCTTTGTCGCTACCTGATGGAGACAGTACTGCGGAATTTTGCATTTTAACATTTGCAGACCTGGAGCTGAAAGATCACGGTCCTTCCCCACCCGAGGGCCACCTGAAAGCCGAATTAGATGCCAGGGCCCGAAAGAAGTATGCGTCCGCAAAGAAAAAGGTATTTGGTGTCTGGTTCACACAGTTAGAACGTACACAACTATCTAGTGATATGAAAATTGTTGTGCAGATGGCAGCTTCTTGGTATTGGTCCTGAATAGGGTAACTGTGCCTCTGAAGGACCAGGTGTGCAGCCTGGGAGTCATTCTAGACTCACAGCTGTCCATGGAGGTGCAGGTGAATTCTGTGTCCAGGGCAGCTGTCTACCAGCTCCATCTGGTACGCAGGCTGAGACCCTCCCTGCCCGCGGACTGTCTTGCCAGTGTGGTGCATGCTCTGGTTATCTCTCGCTTGGACTACTGCAATGCGCTCTACATGGGGCTACCTTTGAAGGTGACTTGGAAACTGCAGTTAATCCAGAATGCGGCAGCTAGACTAGCGACTGGCTGCCAAAACAATATAACACCAGTTCTGAAAGACCTACATTGGCTCCCAGTAGGTTTCCGAGCACAATTCAAAGTGCTGACCTTTAAAGCCCTAAACAGCCTCAGCCCAGTATACCTGAATGAGCGTCTCCACTCCCATCATTCTCCCTGAACACTGAGGTCCAGCTCCGAGGGCCTTCTGGTGGTTCCCTCGCTGCAAGAAGTGAAGCTACAGGGAACCAGGCAGAGGGCCTTCTCAGTAGTGGCGCCCGTCCTGTGGAACACCCTCCCATCAGATGTCAAAGAAATAAACAACTATCTGAAGGCAGCCCTGTTTTTAATGTTTGATGTTTTATTGTGTTTTTAATATTCTGTTGAGAGCTGCCCAGTGTAGCTGGGGAAACCCAGCCAGATGGGCGGAGTATAAATAATAAATTATTATTATTATTTAAACCTCCCCAGCTTTCCCCGTATCAAATCTGTTCTGTAGAGTGTTAGAGACCTAGGAGGAGGATTAAAGTAGGGTGACAGCGTGTTCAGAGAGTCAGTGCTCTTTAAGCGGGGGGGGGGGGGAAATGTGGTTCGAATGTGCATAGTATGACCACAGTCTTTGCCTTCTCCAGTGGAAAGGTGGTCTGTGCCCAAAATTCTCCCTTTGTCATTTTCGCAGGCCTTTGCTCTCTTCGTCAAAGCCAAGGAAGTGGTAGCTGACACTTGCTGCCCGATGTCTGCTTGCCAAAGGGTGATTTCTTGGAGATGCTGCCAAGAAACTTTCAAAGACCTGACTGGAATTCACAGACATGTAGCGGCTCAGCATTCGGGCGATGTGGGGCAGCAGACCTCCGTGATCCTGAAACAGATGGCACGCGGTGTCAGTGTCACAAGTAGCCCAGTTTCGTCAGCAGATGAAACACCCAGGCCTAGCAGGGCCCTGTACAGAAGCCAAGAGATGTTCCAGAAGCTTCCAGACACAAGCCATATCGATATCAATGAAATGACAAGGTAAGAGGTTGTTTTGTTTTGTTTTTGTTTTTTAACAGACACAAACAGCACCTGGGAATGCAGAGTTCAGCAAATTTCAGTTTATCCTCTCCCTCCCCCCATCTTAAATTCAGATCTCCAGCTTTCTACATCAGTTTGCAGTTTTTTAAAAACAAGGTCACCCCAATAATAATCATATTATTATTTATACCCCGTCCACCTGGCTGGGTTGCCCCAGCCACTCCCCAAAATTTGTCAGCATTGTTAGTGTGCATTTCTGCTAATATACTGTGCAATTTTCCCTAAAAATAGATGGCCCTCTGTCATGTATGATCAAGCTGAGATTCCTGGATAGCAAGGGTTGCACTAATAATAATAATAATAATAATAATTTATTATTTATACCCTGCCCATCTGACTGAGCTTCCCCAGCCACTCTGGACGGCTCCCAACAAAATATTAAAATACATCAAACATTAAAAGCTTCCCTAAACAGGGCTGCCTTCAGATGTCTGAAGACATCTAGACGACTCGCAGGGTCCCTTCCAACTCTTCAATTCTATGATTCTACGGACACTTCTGCAAGCAATTTCCCCATATAGAATCCATTTTTGTATGCTGTTTTCACTAATATATGTGAGCGGTTTCCCTAGTTTTCGGTTGGCAAAATACACAGGGAAATTCAGTGAAATACAAAAGTCAAAGGACAGCTGCATGTTGGGTCAGGAATTGGACGGAATTTAACGTTGAGCTGACACTGTTGTTATGTCAGTGCAAGCATTTCTGCTTCCAGGGGGACTGATCTCCCTTCCTCCCCCTGCGTACTGTTCCACGGGTTCTCCCGACCCTCTAACATGGATTTGGGGGAGGCGTGGGGGGGCACACAGTGGGGAGGAGATGGGAGAAAGCCCCATCCCACTAGCAGGAGTCTGGCCCTCTGTTTCGGGAAGTGCAAACGAAGCCAGTTTTCTCCCCCAAGCCTTACTACTCAGCGGCGTAGCGTGGGTTGTCAGCACCCGGGGCAAGTAATTTGCGCCCCCTAACCCGGGGCAAGGCAAGTAATTTGCGCCCCCTAACCCCTAACCTGCCGCCACTGCCAGCTTCTTCTTGCTGCTGCCTGGGCTGGGGTATTTACAGTAAAGTAGCCACGGCGGCGGCGGCGGGTCCGTGTCAGGTGATCTGAGGCGAGTTGCCGCTCGCGCTGCCGCCCAAACGATGCAGCTTGCCCAGAGGAGGAGGAGGGCAGAGAGGCGAGGAAAATGCAACATGGCCCAGCAGCTGCAGCAGCAGCGGCGGGGCTGTGAGGAGGGGCTGCCTGGCACGCCCTCCGCGGCACTGACACGCGGGGACCGCGGCGAGCGCTGAGAGCCGCTGCCAGCTCGTCGGTTCCGCGAGACATGGGGCTCTGCTACAGCCCCCCCCAGATGTTGCGCCCGGTGCGGCCGGCCCCCCCTGCACCCCCCACGCTACGCCACTGTTACTACTGACCCTGCACAGTTTCCATGTCTTTGTGCTGCAAAGCGGTCTATATATTTGGATAATAACTTCTCAGGTGTTATATGGCCATTGAGGAAGACATAGTTTTTCTTACGTAAGCCTCTCCCTGCTCCCCCTTTGCTGACAGTGACGGTGAGCCTGGCCAAGTTTTGCTGTACTATTGTTACTGCGAGGTGGCAGATCCCCAGGGACTCTGTGACTGGCAGAGGGCTTTGTGCCAACACCTGCATCTCACGGGCAAGGTAAGTAATTCAGCGCACTACACGGCGAAGAGTTGCAGCAGATTGGCTGTCCAGAGCTATTCCCCCCCAGCAGACCTGGCAGGCTAGGGGCGCCTCCCATATCAGGAATCTCCTATCTGTTCAGACACCTTACAAGAGCCACTGTGGTATAGTGCAGGGCTGATACGGGACGCAGGTGGCGCTGTGGTCTAAACCACTGAGCCTCTTGGGCTTACTGATCAGAAGGTCGGGGGTTTGAATCCCCGCAACAGGATGAGCTCCCGTTGCTCTGCCCCAGCTCCTGGCAACCTAGCTATTCATATCACACCAGTGCAAGTACATAAATAGGTATCACTGTGGCAGGAAGGTAAACGGAGTTTCCATGCACTCTGGCTTCCGTCACAGTGTTCCAGAAGCGGTTTCAGAGCCAGTGTGGTGTAGTGGTTAAGAGCGGTAGACTCATAATCTGGTGAACCGGGTTCGATTCCCCGCACCTCCACATGCAGCTGCTGGGTCACCTTGGGCTAGTCACACTTCTTTGAAGTCTCTCAGCCGCACTCACCTCACAGACTGTTTGTTGAGGGGGAGGAAGGGAAAGGAGAATGTTAGCCGCTTTGAGACTCCTTAGGGTAGCGATAAAGCGGGATATCAAATCCAAACTCTTTAGTCATGCTGGCCACATGACCCGGAAAGCTGTCTGTAGACAAACGTCGGCTCACTCGGCCTGTAAGTGAGATGAGTGCCACAACCCCATAGTCGCCTTTGACTGGGTCCTTTACCTTTACTGTTTACCTAGTGTAGGCCTGGGTGCAAATCATGATGCATTTGCAATGCGAAAATCATACTGCAAAGCCAGCTAATGCCTCTACATAGCTCCATCCTGATTTCAGACATTGTGATACACCAATATATTGTGATGTTTCGCGGGTGATACATCACAAAGTTGAAACCCAGATATCGCCCAGTCCTGCTGTTCCCTTCTACATAAAAAGGTAAAGGGACCCCCGACCATTAGGTCCAGTCATGACCAACTCTGGGGTTGCGGTGCTCATCTCGCTTTACTGGCCGAGGGAGCCAGCGTACAGCTTCCAGTTCATGTGGCCAGCATGAGTAAGCCGCTTCTGGCGAACCAGAGCAGCACACGGAAACGCCGTTTACCTTCCCGCCAGAGCGGTACCTATTTATCTACTTGCACTTTGACTTTGTGCTTTTGAACTGCTAGGTTGGCAGGAGCTGGGACCGAGCAACGGGAGCTCACCCCGTCGCAGGGATTCGAACCGCCGACCTTCTGATCGGCAAGTCCTAGGCTTTGTGGTTTAACCCACAGCGCCACCCGAGCCCCTATTCCCTTCTACAGAGTTCCATCCTTATTTCAGACATCGTGATGTATTGGTGCATCGCGGCATTTAGCTGGTGATATGTCTCAACACTGAAGACCAGATATCGCCCAGCCCTAGTATAGCGTCAGGCTTTGGGCACACTGTACCTTTAAAGCACAGTGGAAGCTCCTTCCCGTGCCCATCAATGAATTCCGGGCACCGTAGTTTGTTAAGGGTTGCTGGGAATTGTATCTCTTTGAGGGGGAAACTGTCATGCCCATAATTCTTTGAGGGGAAATAATGTGCTTTGAATGTGCATAGCTTGTCAGACTTCCTTCTTCTTCTTTGGCAATCACTCAGAGCCGAGTAAGATTGTCTTCCATAAACACGGTCTTAGCAGGGAGTTTGTAAGTGACTGTGGAGGCCAATTCTGGATCCACACGTCCTTCCACAGTGGGGACATAGGTTTCCGGGTGGGAGCTGATCACGGCAAGGGTTTGCCAAGTGTGCCTTCCTCTTAGCATGTTTCTCCCTTGAGTCCTGAGTTTGAGCGTCTTCAAAGCCCATGACACCTTTGGTAAAGGCTGTTCTCCAACTGGAGCACTCGTAGCAGGCCAGTGTTTCCCAGTTGTCAGTGTTTATACTACATTTTTAAAAGATTTGCCTTGAGAGAGTATTTAGGGGACTAGGACCTGGTAGGACCTAGGGTTCAAATCCCCACTCAGCCACAAAGCTGACTGGTGTCTTAGCCTAACCTACCTCACAGGGTTATTGTGAGGATAAAATGGGGAGTGAGGAACCATGCCTGCCACCTTGAGCTCCTCGGAGGGATTGTGGGCTATAGATTCAATCATAAATAAATCACATTAGTTCCAACGAGGAACTAATTTTCCTGAAATCCAATCCTTTGGAGAGTAAGTCCACCAAAGGCGTTATACAACCTGTGATAGCTTTTTCCTTGGATTAATTACATGCAGCTGTGCGCAATGTGTCGTTTGGGCTGGAAGGCCAAAATCCAATGCATTCTTGGATGTAAGCCAATCAGTTGCACTTTACTTCTGGGTAGGCCTGAGTTTCACATCTCGTCTCCTGTCCTTTCCTTCTTGGTTGGTTTCCAGGTGCGAATAGCTTCCGAAGGAATCAACGGAACCGTTGGTGGGAGCAAGATGGCTACTAGTCTTTACGTGGAGGCGATTCTGTCTCACCCCCTCTTTAAAGGCATTTTGACAAGGGAGGATTTCAAGGTGAGAGACCTGATCTGGTTGGCATGATGCGGAAGCGCCCATTCTTGGTCCTACAGCGCGCATTTCTTGAAGTGCCCTTTCCACCCAACTTCTAGGGTGGAAGGCAGAGAATCCAGTCGTAGGCAGAGCTAGAGCTCCAAAAGAATGGATTTGCAGCGTGAGACTGTCAAATCCACTTTAAATGCGCAAACCTAAATTTGCTGCTGAACGATGGAAAATAGTAGTTGCTGGCATCTATCTGTCTCGAGAGACAATGGAGTATGCCTCCGGGGGTGAAGTCAAACTGCTGTGTTAGCAGCACCAAAGTGACCTCTCTGGGGCGCAAGCCTGGGCAGTGTGTATGGAGGCCTCAAGCTGCCCAGATGGCAAGACCCTCCTCTCAGCCTTCCTGATGAGGTCCGAAGGAAAGCAGGGCAAGATGTTTGGCCCCAGCTTGGCTACAGGAGTCGCTGGAAGGAGACGTACAAGGCTCCACTCCAGATTTACTGAGCCTTTTCTTTCCCCAAAGATATGCTGCAAGGCCAGTGGAGGTTTAGGAGAGTTTTCCTTCTCCTGTATATAACAACAACAACAACAACAATTTGCACCTCACCCATCTGGCTGGGTTTCCCCAGCCACTCTGGGCGGCTTCCAACAAAGATTAAAAATATATTAAAATATCACACATTAAAAACTTCCCTGAACAGGGCTGCTTTCAGATGTCTTCTGAATGTCAGGTACAGTCATACCTCGGGCTGAATGTGCTTCGGGTTGAGCACATTCGAGTTGCGCTCCGCGGCAACCTGGAAGTAACGGGAGTGCGTTACTTCCGGGTTTCGCCGCTTGCACATGCGCAGACACTCAAAATGACGTCATGCGCAGAAGCTGCAAAAACGACACGCGCGTGCGCAGACGTGCCGTCGCTAGATACTTTGCTTCTGGATGCGAATGGGGCTCCGGAATGGATCCCGTTCGTATCCAGAGGTACCACTGTAGTTGTTTATCTTTTTGACATCGGATGGGAGGGCGTTCCACAGGGCGGGCGCCACTACCGAGAAGGCCCTCTGCCTGGTTCCCTGTAGCTTTGCTTCTCGCAATGAGGGAACCACCAGAAGACCCTGGGCGCTGGACCTCAGTGACGGCAGAGCGATGAATAGAATAGAAGAATAGATGCATTTCATTGCCTGGTTCCCTTAGCTTTCAAACTGGCTATCTCAGCAATGAGGATAGAACCAGCCTCTGAGAGTTTCTATATCCCTGGGCGCTGGCAAACCTGGCTGTGTCCCGGGTGAGATGAATGTGGCTAGATTTAGCTTCCTAAGACAACGGGAACCGTACAGTTCTTCCAAAGATGGGAGAGGATGACCAATAATCCTTTGGGCTGTGGTTATGACCTTCTGGAGCACCTTCCTCTCCCTAGCTGTACAACTGGAGAACCAAGCACAAATACAGTATGTAAGAATGCTCGTCTATGGAGCCTCGGTAGAAGGACACCAGCAGTCTCTCACTCAGTATTGTTCTTCGTTAAAAGGTCTGAGGAAATAAATTCTCTGCTGGCGCCTTCTTCACCCAGATGCTAGTGGTATGTGCGCTCCAAGTCATGCCCTGATCGATAGTTACTCCCAAAACCTGAATTCCGCCACCCTCTCCACCCGTTCCCCGTTGATATACAAGGGCTGAATGTCCGCCTTTTTTTTCCTGTAATCCACCACCAATTCCTTGGTCTTAGCCGTATTAAGAGGCCAGATTGTTTCTCTCCACACCAAACACAGAGCCGCTCCACCTCGTCCCGATAGGCGGACTCATCCCCTCCTGAAATGAGCCCTACCACCGTAGTGTCATCAGCAAACTTGATGATTTTTGTTGGCTGGAATAGATGGCTGTACAGTCATACGTATAGAGAGCATAGAGCAGGGGACTCAAACACACAACCCTGTGGTGAGCCGGTGTTAAGGCTAAGGCTGTGGACATATGTGACCCTACTCTAACCCTCTGAGAACGTTCTGACAAAAAATCCAAAACCCAGAGACAGGTGGAGTTGGAGAGTCCAATCGCCTCTAGCTTGGACACCAGTCTATGGGGGAGGATAGTGTTAAAAGCAGAGCTAAAATCCACAAACAGCAGCCTCACATAACTCCCCGGCTGCTCCAGATGGGACAGAGCAGATGATGCTACCTCCCCAGGTTGACAAGCCTCATCTCCTCATTTCCCTCTTCAGCAAGTACATAAACCGCCTTATAGCAACAGTCTGGCAATAGCCTTCAGCTCCAGGGGCCGATAGAGAGACAACGCAGCCTGTTTTCTAGGGATGGGGAACTTCAGGTGCTGCTGGACTACAACTCCCATCATCCCTGACCATGGAGCACATTGGCTGGGGCTGATGAGAGTTGGAGTCCAACAACGTCTCCACTTGACCTGCTTCCAGCGTAGATCTATTGGTACCTGTTTCTTGTTGGTTTTCTCCCTGTTCCTCAGACCAGCACAGGAGGAGCCCACTGTTTCACAGGCCTTTGGGTTGGCGTCTTTGAAGAAATTGTGCCCATGGGAATCAACCCGCAGAAAGTCTCTTACAAAGAAACAGGTGTGGAGAATAATGATAATTTATTATTATTTATACCCCGCCCATCTGGCTGAGTTCCCCCAGCTGCTCTGGGCGGCTCCCAACAGAATATTAAAAACACAATAAAAAAAATCAAACATTAAAAACTTCCCTAATCTGGGTTGCCTTCAGATGTCTTCTAAAAGTCAGATAGTTGTTTTATTTCTTTGACATCTGATGGGAGGGCGTTTCACAGGGTGGGCGCCACTACCAAGAAGGCTCTCTGACTGGTTCCCTGCAACCTCACTTCTTGCAAAGAGGGAAACACTAGAAGGCCCTCAGAGCTGGACCTCAGTGTCTGGGCTGAACGATGGGGGTGGAGACGCTCCTTCAGGTATGCTGGGCCCAGGCCAACATCTCTTGGCTTTAGAAGGACTGGGAATTGATGGGTAGGGGGCACCAAACATGGTGGGGAGCTGGTGGGGCAGAGGACATGGAGCCCAACTCAATTAAAGGCGGAGCCAAAGCTAGAGATGGGCGGAGCCGACTGAGTCTAATTTTGCCTTTATCCTCCTTCCCGCTGAGTTCTACTGAGACTAAGGTGGAAGTAGCTGACACCCAGAGCTCTGCCCCAGACCAGTTGTAAAAACTAGAAGGGAGGTAGGGGTCAGGGTCAGGTTGGTAGAGGAGAGCCCCATTTGCCTTAATCGACAAACTGCATTGACTGAACACTGTAAAAGGAAATGGCCGCTGAATTGATGCCACAGCCTCTGTTTGCTTTCCCTTGCTCTGCCCTTGAAGAACCCTGGTTTTCAGGACCTCTTCACCCAATTGCTATTGCAAAGGGAGACTTCAGGCAGTCCCAGTTCACGCACCCAGATTGTTGCTTCCGTATGGATTCGAAACACTTTAATGTTATACCGAAAGCTGTCTCATCGGAAGGGGTTTCCTGTTTTGACGCAGGGTTCCCCACACACAAGGGACGTGGGTGGCGCTGTGGGTAAAAGCCTCAGCGCCTAGGGCTTGCCGATCGAAAGGTCGGCGGTTTGAATCCCCGCGGCGGGGTGCGCTCCCGTTGCTCGGTCCCAGCACCTGCCAACCTAGCAGTTCGAAAGCACTCCTGGGTGCAAGTAGATAAATAGGGACCGCTTACTAGCGGGAAGGTAAACGGCGTTTCTGTGTGCGGCTCTGGCTCGCCAGAGCAGCGATGTCACGCTGGCCACGTGACCCAGAAGTGTCTCCGGACAGCGCTGGCCCCCGGCCTCTTGAGTGAGATGGGCGCACAACCCTAGAGTCTGTCAAGACTGGCCCGTACGGGCAGGGGTACCTTTACCTCCCCACACACAAAGGGAGGAGAGGAATGCTGTTTGAGTCCAAATTCAAGTTTGTTTTTTATACCTTTGTAAGCCACTTTCAATTGCTTGCAGGGATCCACCTGACTCCGAAGGAGTTTCATCTAGAAGTGGAGAAATATCTCTCTCAGGGTAACAAAGGGCAAGCGGACACCATTTTGCTGGACTGCAGGAACTTCTACGAAAGTAAAATAGTAGGTGGCTTTTGAGTTGGCTTTTATTTTCTTCCTTGGGGATTCGAAAGTCTGAAGGAAGCAGATTTCGCCTTTCTTTAATTTATATCCCACCCAGGGCAGCAAATAACATGTGATAAAACAGTAGAAAAGCATATTAAAAACAATTCCAAAACAGATGCAGCCTGGGGAAGGTTTTCAGCTTAAAGATTTGTTGAAAGAGGAAGGTCATCATCAGTAGTTGCCAAAAGGACAACACTTCCTCCTTTCTATTCCATCTGCTTTCTGCCATGTTTTAAAAATGATTTCATTTATAATATTTATAGCCTGCCTGTGGGACGCGGGTGGCGCTGTGGGTTAAACCACAGAGCCTAGGACTTGCCGATCAGAAGGTCAGCGGTTCGAATCCCCGCGGCGGGGTGAGCTCCCGCTGCTCGGTCCCAGCTCCTGCCAACCTAGCAGTTCGAAAGCACACCAGTGCAAGTAGATAAATAGGTACCACTCTGGCGGGAAGGTAAACGGCGTTTCCATGCGCTGCTCTGGTTCGCCAGAAGCGGCTTAGTCATGCTGGCCACATGACCCGGAAGCTGTACGCCAGCTCCTTCGGCCAGTAAAGTGAGATGAGCGCCGCAACTCCAGAGTCGGCCACAACTGGACCTAATGGTCTGGGGTGCCTTTACCTTAGCCTGCCTGTGGCACTTTCAGATAACCTGTTTATTGAGCATTCTTCATGCTTGCTTTGTAGGGTGGTTCGATGGTGTGGCGTCAATGCCAGTGCTATCCCACACTTCCCATTGCATCTCCCTGTCACTTTCCTTACCGCAAACATTCCAATTTTGGGGGGAAGCAAGTTTCTTGTTTCATCCTTTCCAACTGCGTAGCCTGAATTTGCCAGTACGTGATTGAATCCCCACCCCGGAAATAGTGGCAGTCTGGAAGTGCCTCTTCATTCTCAATAGCAATAGGACACTGATGCAGAAACCCCACATGAGACGTCCCACTCTCCAGAAGCGTTTCAGTGGCCCCACTTTGCAAAACACTCAAGTCAAGCGGCATGCCTTTCTTTTGGCCCCCAGGGACATTTCCAAGGTTCTTTGGCTCCGGACATCAGGAAATTCAGCTACTTCCCCACCTATGTGGATGAGAACCTGGATCTTTTCAGGGGAAAGAGGATCCTGATGTATTGCACGGGAGGAATCCGTTGTGAGCGGGGCTCAGCCTACCTCAGGTCCAAGGTGAGCAGCTGCCTCGGGGGAAAGCACTCAGCCGAGAGAATTTGTGTGTTGCAGAGCACGACTGGAGCAGTCAAATGTTCATAGCTTTGCTGGTTTGACACATAGGTCCACACATTTATTTATTTAATTTTTTTTCAAAACTTTTTATTGATTTTCACAATTTTATAAACAAACAAACACATAAGACAGACAAACATAAATCATAGCCTTATTGAAAATTACACTTATTAACTTTGTTAAGTGACTTCCTCGCTTCCCCTTTGGTTGAATTTCATTGCATATCCTTTTAACCGTTTCCCAAGTCACAATTCTTATAAAATTTAACTTAAACATTAACATCCTTAAATCTTCACTTTATGAAATCAAACATATTAATTCTCACTTAACATAAATAAAATCCTATGCCAATTAAGTATTTTTTTCTTCTTAAATTTGTGGACCTAATGTAAATAAATATAGGTCCACAAATTTAAGAAGAAAAAATGATGACAGCAGAACGATGACAGCACCGTGTAAACTTGCATTCAGCACTTGAAATAATTATTATTAAGAAGGAATGGAAAGGGCGTAAAGTTCGTCTACTCTAAATGCTCTGATTAGAGCTATCTCATCTGTAGCAGCACCCTTAGCTGATGAGCCAATACAGTGGTACCTCGGGTTACATACGCTTCAGGTTCCATACGCTTCAGGTTACAAACTCCACTAACCTAGAAATATTACCTCGGGTTAAGAACTTTGCTTCGGGATGAGAACAGAAATTGTGCTCCGGCAGAGCAGCAGCAGGAGGCCCCATTAGCTAAAGTGGTGCTTCAGGTTAAGAACAGTTTCAGGATAAGAACAGACCCATAGCTGTCAAGCGTCCCTTATTTGGCGGGACAGTCCCTTATCCCAGCGCCATGTCCCGCTGCTGTCCCTTATTGATGAGGCTTTGTTTGGCTGCTGACTGGGCTTTCTGCCTTTGGCTTGGAAGGGCTCAGAAGTTGAACATACCTGTGCCTGGAAAATCCCTTATTTTGGCTGCTGATCCCTTATTTTTGAGGCTGCTGGTCCCTTATTTTCCAATCTGTAAGTTGACAGCTATGAACAGACCTCCAGAACAAATTAAATTATTAACCTGAGGTACCACTGTATAACTTAGAGAGGCAAAGAATCTGCTGCAACATCTCTTAAAAACATTTAATTTCTTTCCTTATAGAAACAAAGCTCTTTCAAGTGCCACCAGGAGTAACTGCTCAAGCCATTAGCAGACAGGAGAAGCCATCCTGTTATTTCCTGTGCTGTCTGTGTTTTGGCAAACCTCCCCCTAGAGACAAGGTCCTTTAAGGTTCGGAGATTAACGCTTGTCCTTTCAAGGCAGTTCACTGAGCTTAGAGGCAACAGATATTACACTTGAGGCCCTGCCGTGATAACCGAAGCAAATGGTCTCCTGTCATTTCACAGTTACCTGGCACAGAATCCCATCTCGCTTGGCTTTTGTTTTAAATAAATGCAAAGCTGGTTTCTCGTCTTCATGTTTAGTGGAAGTGCATTTCTAAATGGGCAGGGGGTGCCCGTAAAAAGCTTTTTCAGTCAAGGAGCAGAGCTTCTGTGTTTTGGCTGGCAACTTCCTGGTTCCTCCCTCAGGAACATGGGTCATGTTTCCCTCAGTTTCCTATGTTGCAGCCCTGCTCCCTACGTGATTGGCGTTCTGAGTCGTGCAGGGCGTCTTCTTATGCATGTATAGAGCAGACTCCCCATGCACAGGGAGGCGGGTGGCGCTGTGGGTTAAACCACAGAGCCTAGGACTTGCCAATCAGAAGGTCAGCGGTTCGAATCCCTGTGACGGGGTGAGCTCCTGTTGCTCGGTCCCTGCTCCTGCCAACCTAGCAGTTTGAAAGCACATCAAAGTACAAGTAGATAAATAGGGACCGCTCCGGCGGGAAGGTAAACGGCGTTTCCGTGCGCTGCTCTGGTTCGCCAGAAGCGGCTTAGTCATGCTGGCCACATGACCCGGAAGCTGTACACCGGCTCCCTCGGCCAATAGATGAGCACCGCAACCCCAGAGTCGGTCACGACTGCACCTAATGGTCAGGGGTCCCTTTACCTTTTACCCCATGCACAAGTTGTGAATGCGACAGCAGCAACAGTGGGAGCAGACGCAGCAGAGGCACCTTGCTTATTATATACTCAGCACCGAGCAACATGTGAAGAGGGCTTAGGTGGAGGGCAAGGTAAGGTAAGGAGAGGGTGGCTCTGCGGTCTAAACCACTGAACTTCTTGGGCTTGCCGATCGGAAGGTTGGCGGTTCTAATCCCCACGACAGGGTGAGCTCCCGTTGCTCAGTCCCAGCTCCTGCCAACCTAGCAGTTCGAAAGTAAGCCAGTGCAAGTAGATAAATATGTACCGCTGCGGCGGGAAGGTAAACGGTGTTTCCCTGCATTCTGTTTTCCGTCACTGTGTTTCGTTCTGCCAGAAGCGGTTTAGTCATGCTGGCCACATGACCCGGAATGCTGTCTGTGGACAAACACCAGCTCCCTTGGACTGAAAGCGAGATGAGGGCCGCAACCCCATAGTCGCCTTTGACTGGACTTAACTGTCTAGGGGTCCTTTACGTTACCTACAGGGAGGGCCAGGACATTCAGTACAAGGATGTTCCCTCCCACCTCAGAAAATAAGCAGGTAGTACAGGTAACAATAACCAAGCCAGTTGCAGACTGGAGAGAAGTCTTTGCCTCTGGGTCAGAAATTAACAGAGTCTTGGTGGTTTGGGGCTGTTCTGAAACAGGGCGTGTGCAAAGGAGTGTACCATCTCAAGGGTGGCATCCACAAGTACCTGGAAGAATTCCCAGATGGCTTCTACCGAGGGAAGCTCTTTGTCTTTGATGAACGTTATAGCATCTCCTCCAACGGTGATGTGATTTCAGGTAAGTGAGCCTCCTTTCCTGAGGGGCTTTTCTGACATTCGACCCTTTTCCCTTTCCTAGGCTTATTTGTAAACTTTAGTCCAGGGATGGGAGTTGTAATGGGAATTGGGGGTTGCTCGTGCGTAAGTTGCCACCACTCTTGGCGAGGTTGCCTGGATAAACCTTTCCCTGGCTGGACAGTCCTGATTCCGCGTTTGTCTCAGTCACTGGCAGAATCCGTCAGTGGGCGTTTCCTGAACTTCTTCCAGCATAAAAGTTCTTTGACGCCAAGTCTCCGCCTAGCCTCCCTGCGCGGAAGTCTCCTGCGCAGGGAGGGTGTGGGCAGCGGAGGACCCGTACTCTCTCCGCTGGTCTCCGGTGAAGAGTCCTGGAGCCTCCTCTCCGATTCCCCCATCTGCCCCCCTTCTCCACTGGTGTTACGCTGATTTCCTTCCCCGGCCAATGAGTCTCCTCTCTCCCTGCTTGGCCCTTCTCCGGCATCGCTTGGGAGCCTTGCCTCCACTCCTAGCTCCGATGGCAGTTCCCTGACAGGAGTGTATGGGGTTTTAGGGGAGGTGTAGTAGCTCTGGTGGGGGACACACCATGCTCCTTCTGGGGTAAGTTTGTCCACCTTTGGTCCCCCACCCTGCACTCAGCTCTGTGGCTCCTGGAAGCTATCAGAATGCAACAGCGTCCACACTCTGGGAATGGCTTTGACTGGGCGCCTAAACCTGGCAAAGGTTGTCAATGGGTCTCAAACCCTTGGTGAGTTAGGGACTTGTCCTATATGCGAAGACAGGCTCTGGCAGATTGAGCGGATGAGACCAATAGAGGTTACAATGGTCACGAAGGTCGTTTCTGCACATGCCGCAGAGGGAAGCAGATAACTGGGCACAGTAGTTGGGGTTGGGGTTATTTTCATTCGGGTATAACTGAAAATTATTATTATTATTATTAATTGATTTATTGGTTTATTTGTAGTCTGTATAAGATACAGTGGTACCTTGGGTTACAGACGCTTCAGGTTACAGACTCTGCTAAACCAGAAATAGTACCTCAGGTTAAGAACTTTGCTTCAGGATGAGAACAGAAATCGCGCAGCAGCAGGAAGCCCCCTTAGCTAAAGTGGTACCTCAGGTTAAGAACCGTTTCAGGTTAAGAACGGAGGACCTCCAGAACGAATTAATTTCTTAACCCGAGGTACCACTGTATTGTTTTTTAATGTTTGATGTTTTATTAAGTTTATATATATGCTGTAAGCCCCCCAGAGTGGCTGGGGAAATCATCATCATCATCATCATCATTATCATCATCATCATCATCATCCCTGTCTTGCTCCTTTCTTAGATCCCCTGCCTCATTCCCCTGGACCCCCACCTCACATCCCATCTTCTCTGGGCCCTTTTGCCTATCTGGCAGGGACTGGCAGGGCTCTGAGGAGGGGTGGAAGGGTAGCGGTGCCAGAGGCTGATCTAGTGGAAGGGGACAGTGATTTATGGGGTTCTGTGCCCCCTGCAAGGCAGGAGCCAGAGCTGGAGGATGGGGAGGGGGTCTGAACAGTCAGAAACGGTGGAGGGAGGACAGGGCACACCAGGAGCTGAGGGAGAGATGGTGCCTCAAGCGAGGGGGCTGGCAAACTCCTCCCCTCTGCTGCTGCCCCCCAGGACCAGGAGGGGGCTTGAAAAAGCAGGCGCAGTAACACCTTCCATGGAGGAGAAGTCAAAGGTTGCTTGTGCTGCGCGTTGGGACAAGAGGACTTAATTTTTGGGGGGGTAGGCGTTTGGATTTGATATCCCGCTTTATCACTACCCTAAAGAGTCTCAAAGCGGCCAACAATCTCCCTTCCCTTACTCCCCCCCCCCCGACACACACTCTGTGAGGTGAGTGGGGCTGAGAGACTTCAGAGAAGTGTGACTAGCCCAAGGTCACCCAGCAGCTGCATGTGGAGGAGCGGGGAAGCGAACCCGGTTCACCAGATTACGAGTCCACTGCTCTTAACCACTACACCACACCGGCTCGGAGCACAGGCCCAGAGAGGGGAAGCAGCTCGCTAGACACCAGAAGTGTATTGCGCATGTTTGGTGCACCTCAGGAACTGCTGTATGTTTGTGCTTTGTCAATAAAGACTCAAACCACCTGCGCTTAGGACTCCATCTTGGATCTGAGCACCTCAGCCAATGGCTGCTCAAGATTTTGCTTCTCTGCGATATTAGGCAAGCCTAACCATGAATTTAATGGTGCGTAAGGTTTAAGTGGGATTAGGATGGCAGCTTTGAGTCAATTTCTGCTGCAGAATAGAGTGGGGGGGGGGGAATTAAGGAGTGCCTTTCCTTCTTGCATTGAGGCAGCTTTTGTGGATTGAATGCAGTGCTCTTTTTTCCTGGGGGGACGCAGGGCTACGCATACCCCTAAACATTTTGTGAATTGAATGGGAGAAGAAACTAATTTTTTATGAATCATCAGTTCCATTGCTCTCCCCAATGGCAGCCTCATTTCCTGTCACGGTGTTTCCTGAGTCTCAGGCGGATGCGAGAGTATCCCTAAACATTTTTAAGGGGGGAAAGCATTGATTGAATGTGTCTTCAGCAGAAGTTACAATGAATGCAGAATAGAAAATTCATCTGGAGCAGGCTTCCTCAACCTCGGCCCCTCAGATGTTTAGAGACTACAATTCCCATCATCCCTGACCACTGGTCCTGCTCGCTAGGGATCATGGGAGTTGTAGTCCAAAAACATTGTAGGCCGAGGTTGAGGAAGCCTGATCTGAAGGGTCTGCCAGAGGACTTGGGGAGGGTGGGGTCAGTGGCAACCACAAATAGCGGCTATTGGCCGGAGATTTAACCCCCTCTTCCCTCTTTCCCTCCAGCCTGCCGTTACTGCGGGATGCTCTGGGACCAGTATCGACTTTGCTCCACCCAGCCCTGCCGCCAGCTTGTCCTGGCATGCCCGCAGTGCCAGCTGAAAGGGTTCACAGCCTGCTGCCCCCTCTGCCAGAAGAAAGGCCTGGCGCTGGCTTCAGCTCCTTCCGGACTCTCCTTCAAGGAGGAGTGTGAGTGCACCGGCACACGGCGGCAGGTGCCGGTGGAGCGCATCTAACCAAGGATCCCACCTCCTTGGACATCCGCTTGGGGTGCCCAAATCCCAGCTCTCTTTTCAGGGGATTTGAGGCAAGCAGCTTTGCTGACCTCCGGTTTCAGGCAGTTAATCAGGGCTTCACGGCAACGCTATCGCAACTCTCCGAACTAAATTAATGGTGCAAGCATGTACACACAACAGAACTCCCATGGTGCTACACAACCGTTTCCTTGTGTGAGATGATCACCCCTTCCCTTCGGGCGGGACGCAGAGCGCTGACAGAAAGCATCACTGCTCTGCTTCTCTGAACCAGGGCAAGACGACAGAGCGACAAGGCACAGTGAGGTGTAAAGAGGAAAGGAAATTAAAGGAAAAGCACACCACCGACAGGTAGACTCTCATGTGTATGTGCATTGGGAGGCTACAATGTGCTCTGGCTTCCAGCAAATGTGGGCCACCTATACATGCAGTGAGTGATGCGCTTGTAGGTATAGGCTGTGATCGGCCTGCAAGTTTCCCAGTCTTCCCTCCCAAAAGGTGAATTTTGGGTAGGAAACTGCGCTGGTTCCTGGTTTTTGTGGAATCCTCACCCCTGCCCAGGTAGAAGATCTGCATGGGCACCTGAAGAATCAAAATAATCAGAATTGTAGAGTTTGAAGGGATCTTAAGGGCCATCTAGTTCAACCCCCTACAATGCAAGAATCTCAACTAAAGCGTCCATGACAAGATGGCCGCCCATCCTCTTCTTAGAAACTTCCAAGAAAGGAGAGTCCACCATCTTCTGAGGGACTCCCTCCCATTTTGAACGGCTCTCACTATCAGAAACTTTTCCCTGATGTTTAGTTGGAAACTCCTTTCTTGTAACTTGAAGCCACTGGTTCAAGGGGAAAAAAAGCTTGCTGCATCTACCCTGTGACAGCCCTTTAGTTATTTGAATATGGCTATTGTACATCTCTCAAGTCTCCTCTTATCCTGGCTAAACATACCCAACTCCCTCCAACAGTTCCTTGGAAGGCCTGGTTTCCAGATCCTTGACGATCTTTTAGATCAGTGATGGCCAAACTTGGCCCTCCAGCTGTTTTGCAACTCCAACTCCCATCACCCCTAGCTCACAGGACCAGAGGCCAGGGATGATGGGAACTGTAGTCCCAAAACAGCTGGAGGGCCAAGTTTGGCCATCACTGTTTTAGATAGTAAAAGACATCAGAGACCACAGGTTTGCAAGAGGACTCAGAAAGGGGACTTAAAAGTTCCTTAAAATGCACATATAGATGAGTAAAAGTGGTTAGCAGGTTCCAAAACAGGGGGGGGGCAAAACCTCTGTGAAGCAATTTGACATACTCCCCCAAATTCCACCACTTCGCTCTGGGTTAATGGGTTACAGATTTTTTTCTCAGTAAGCAATTTACATGGAAATGAGCATGGAACGTCCACTATACAGTCATTCCTTGGAAGTCAAACAGCCTAGTTCTCGAACGTTTTGGCTCCCGAACGATCGAAACCCGGAAGTGACTGTTCAGGAAGTGAGCTTCCTGCAGCCAATAAGAAGCCACGCTTTGGTTTTCAAACGTTTTGGAAGTCGAACGGACTTCCAGAACGGATTCCGTTTGACTTCCAAGGTACGACTGTATTCCGCTACGTTCTGGAAGTGGCTTTTACTTCATGGGAAAGCTCAAACATAACGTGGAAATTAACAGCTAAGGAAATAAGATAAACTCCTGTGTGGATACAGCTTAGGAGACGCAGAATTATGCAAGGGAACAGAAGTTCTTATGTTTGCATAACATGCACAGGTTGTAGAAATCGGCCTTTCTTGGAGTTTTTATTTGCGGGTGGAGCAAAATTCACACAACCTTGGCTTAAAAGCGGAGGCTGTTTGGAAATGCAGCAAAACTGACCCGTAGTTTGGTGTCCCGTGGCGTCCAGGAAGGGCAGGCTTAATCAAGATGCATCTCTGGCAACTGCCCAAAGTATAGACGGAACTGGTGGGAATATTGCAAATATACGTTTCTGCACAGTGCCTGTGCATCTAGTTGCAATTAGCCCCTTCTTGCAAAAGGAGGCAGACCCCTCTGGACTCCTGGATCTGCAAGCAGGGGGAAAGATTTGAGTAGCTGGCAGACAAGATGCGACAAGATTACGAGATGCGATGCAGGGTTTAAAGAGCCTAACAAGGCACTAATCAGATTCTTGATTCTTCTAGCAGGAATGGTCCAGTATGTATTTTCAGCCGAGGTTGTTATTATGAGCAATGGTTTATTAAGGGGTACCATATTTTTTGCTCTATAAGACTCACTTTTTCCCTCCTAAAAAGTAAGAGGAAATGTGTGTGCGTCTTATGGAGCGAATGCAGGCTGCACAGCTATCACAGAAGCCAGAACAGCAAGAGGGATCGCTGCTTTCACTGCACAGTGATCCCTCTTGCAGTTCTGGCTTCTGAGATTCAGAATATTTTTTTTCTTGTTTTCCTCCTCCAAAAACTAGGTGCGTCTTGTGGTCTGGTGCGTCTTATAGAGCAAAAATTACGGTAATTTACAAGCAGTGGAAACATTACAAGGCTGGCTGCAACGGACCAGGCAGTGCTACAATGAACCTGCCATTCATTTTATTAAGTTCCACAGAGGGTGCTGTGCCATGTTTGAAAGGGCCATGAGCCAATCTCTGCTCCTCAGGGCCTGGTAGTGCCCTGAGCTTTTAAGGGCAGCATCAACCTCTGCCCCTCTTTCCTGATTTTTGGGGGGATTCTTTGATGGGGCATATTGTGACACCGCCAAGGAGATTTTCCACCCAGGCAGGCAGCACCCTTCTCCTTTGGCAGAAGGTGCATTTGATCAAAGGCAACAATAGTGAGGGCAGTTCTTGAAGCAGAAGTGTGACAAATGAACAAAGCAGCCGTTCAGAAGAATAAAGAGTCCAGACACTTGCTTGTGCTCATTAGAAGACGTTTTTAAGAGAACAACATGTGCAAATTCACTGTTTTAAGGTCTTGGATTCTTCAGCAAGAGAGAAACAACCGACACCCCAGTCGGCAGCTGTCTTCTTGTGACTATTGCTTAGGGGGGGGGGAGAGTGGCCTTACATTCTTTCTGTTGGGTGGGGGTGTAGAGACTTATTAACAGATGCTTTATAAACTTAGGTTGCAATGCAGGGCTGTGGATATTAGGCGACTGCAATTCACAAGTCCTTAAAAAAATAACAATGCAAACTGGGTTGATAGAAATGCTGTCAAACTAGTAGCTTCTTTCTAATTCTTGGAGATTGTCAAAATAAAAATAAAAGTATTTTTTTAACCTTTCTGCTACATTTGCAGAGTAGCATTGCATCCTTTTGTTGTTGTGAACTACTCATGCATATCACACCACACACAAAAATTCCATACCAAAATTAAGCTATGGTCTATCAGCTGAAGCCATCTTTGTGCTATGATGTTATTTTGTCAGAATCCAAAATTAGCACCTTACTGTAAACAGGCTCAAACTGGGATTACTCAAACAAACAAACAAGAAGATGTCATTCTCCACACAATGATAATACGGGTCTTTGCCTACAATCACTATTTCGTTTAAACCTTCAGTGCGCAAGGATGTCATATGAAGAAGAAAGAAAAAGCAGGCACCACAAATTCTCTGCACTGTTTGCTCCACACCAAAGCGTTGCAATCCAGTGCGAGCACGAGACTTTGCAATCCAGTGCCATCGGCACAGCCAAGAGCTACACTCCGGTCCGGCACTTGGGAAAAATGGGCCCGTTCAGGTCCTCAAGCCGCCTCTTCCTCACTGAAAAAAAAAAAAGAAATACAGTTGAGGTAAAAGAGCTGCTATGTGCCTGTCCGGTTTGGGGGCAGGGCGTTTCCAGAGATACTCTAAATCAGGCTTCCTCAACCTCGGCCCTCCAGATGTTTTGAGACTACAATTCCCATCATCCCTGACCACTGGTCCTGCTAGCTAGGGATCATGGGAGCTGTAGGCCAAAAACATCTGGAGGGCCGAGGTTGAGGAAGCCTGTTCTAAATTCTCAAATATTTCTTTCACACAGAAGAATGTTTTGTGTGTAAAATCTGTGGTAATAAGCCTGCTAATCTCCTCTGGAAACAATCTAAACCAAGACGGCCATTTCGTAGTGACATCCATGCGAGGCCCTTTCTATACCACAAATTTATTTTGGCTTGAGACTGCCTTTCTCCATCGCTCAAGAATCCTAGGAATCTTAATTTGAGGAATTCTATTCCATACTCCACCACTGCCCCTTGTATTACAGTTCCAAGGAATGACTGCAAAGCCACATCACTGTGCAATCCCATAAATCAGGGGTGGCCAACTCCCAAGAGACTGCGATCTACTCACAGAGTTAAAAACAACCCCATTTTGGCGGGTTCAGGTCAAAGTTGTTCAGCTTTTTTTTAGGGAGGATAGCCCTGTTGAACTTCTTTGGGGGGAGCCAGTGATCTGCCAGTGATCTACCACAGGCATCCAGTGATCTAACGGTAGATCGCGATCTACCTGTTGGATGTGCCTGCCATAAATGTTTACTCAGAAGGATTCTCTATAATAAACTTCGGTGGCGGTTGTTCCCAGCTAAGTGTGGCAAAGATGGCAGCGTAGTCTTTGGTTTTGCCTCCCAGCTGAGAAGCCCTGGAAAGTTGTTCTACTCTGTGAAAGGACCAGGGGCTGGGGTCTCGGGTCCAACACGGAACAGGCCTTGGGAGTCTTTGAGATGAAGTCTTGCTAGTTAAGCCACGTGCTATTAAGGAATGCAAAAGGCACAGAAGACTGATATGTTGGTCTGAAAATGAAACGGGACAGCAGGAGTTTCTTTTGTTGCGTTAAGGCCTAAATCTGCACGTTTCCATTGTTGAGGGACATCTGAAGGAAGAACCAGTCACACGTATATCGCAGAGGGGTCAAAGCAGGTCTCTGCGAATACCTGTTAGCAGTTTTGTGTGACACGACAAGAGTTGGGGACTGTCGGATGATACAGAACAAAAGACAAAAAAGAAGGCAGTCCTCTCTCAGGAACAGCCACAGAGTCCCCTTGTTGCCTAGGCTGGTGAACAAGCCTAACCTGGAAACTTTTTTGGCGGGTGCAGTGATCTGCTCTGGCCAACGACCAGTGTCAAGAGGCTTCCTTACTGGTTGGCCTAGTCTCCCTGCAGATCCACACTTTGGCCAGAGCTAGATGGTGCTGCACAAGAATGAATTCTCACATCAGGTCTTCAGGACCTGCTCCAAGTCCTGACCCTCCAGGACTTGGTTTTCTAATCAACTCTGTGCTTGCAACAGGGCAGAACTGTACTGCCAGAATTGGCTCTAAGGTGCATGGGCTTGAAGAGTATATCTTCAGTATATCTAAGGCTGCATAAGGATGACTGATTTTCCGAGGTTTGAAAACTGCACGGTGAAGCTATTTGGTACATGCACACTTTCTCTCCCCTCTTCTCTGTTTTCTCTGCTTATTGGCCAAACAGGCCTTCCTGTTTTTATTTCCTTTAAAAAACACACCTCCCAAAGCTGTTAGAAAAGGGATGCTTGAAGGGTGAAAAATGCATTATGATGATGATGATGATGATGATGATGATGATGATGATGATTACTACCCTGCCCATCTGGCTGGGTTTCGCTAGTCACTCTGGGTGTCTCCCAACAGAATTGATGATGATAATAATTATACTAATAAACTGATAAAGCATCAGACATTAAAAGCTTCCCTAAACAGGGCAGTCTTCATATGTCTTTTAAAAGTCAGACAGTTTATTTCCTTGACATCTGATGGAAGGGCAGGCGCCACTACCGAGAAGGCCCTCTGCCTGGTTCCCTGTAACCTCACTTCTTGCACTGAGGGAACTGCCAGAAGACCCTCGGAGCTGGACCTCAATGGTGGGGGTGGAA